ACTTGGCTTCAAGCTGGGGCGAGAAAATACAATAAATATTGTGGTACTAAGTACCTAGGTTTGAGCAATAAGATAACGAGTTCCATTTTGAACACATTTGACTTTGTTTTCAAACTTCTCCAGGTACTATAATTGATTTCCAAAGGGCTTAAGTAATATTTTTAAATAACCAATTTTGTATAAATTTAACCTATGAGACATCATAGTTTCTGCTAAAATTTAAAAATTTTTGATCCAGGTTAAGTCCTTCATTTTACATTTTAAGGAAACAGTCTAGTTACCCTAAAAAAGACAAAATAATCCCTCCAAGAGATGATTCCAGGTTTATGCCCAAGATGTGCCATGGGGGCAATAATTAATAAATTTAAGATCTTCTTGAAGTTGAAGATATAAATTCAATATTCCAGTTTTTTGAGTTTTATAACTAAAAAAAATTGAACTACAGTCTTTTTTTCTTTCTTGAAAACCAAAATGCTACTTCTCCTAGTATTAAAACTTAAATTCACAGTATTTTATTTACTTACACCCAGTCTTTCAAAACAATAGTGCCACCATAGAATTTCTCAATTTCATGCATTTCACATGAAATTTATTCTTACTAAATAGCCTTCCCTATCCTTACAAGGATTAAAATATTTGTGGAAAGATTTCAGTTTTTAAGAACTTCATTTTTTCTACAAAAGGCATATTGACAAAAATGTCAAAATATTGTCTACCATAATAAGCAGTAAATTGTGCTAAATTTCCCAATGTATGTTAAAACATTTTAATGATTTGTCATTTTAAGTTTTTTCAATATCTTGCCATCACAGATTTTTAAAATGTGGACTTAAAAAGATTTCTTTTTTAAAAACATTAAGAAAAGGTAAGAGTTGAACAAAGTTTTGTTCCTCTTTAATAATTCATAAAATGCTATAACAGGAATAAATTTAAAATGTTCTTTCTCCATCAATCTGGCCTAATTAATGAGGTTCACAAACTACCTTTATTCTGATTACAATTGTTTCCACCAGATAGCCTTTCTCATGTCTATAATCTATATTTTCATTCCATTTTTCTACTAAAGGAAAAAAGTAGAGTTTCTTCAGATAAGAACTCTATTTAGCATTATTCCCTTTTGAAGGAACCATGCAGTAACAATAGTCATTGCTTCTTTTGAGTCAAATCTTGAAAAGAATCCTAGATGTCCCTCTAGTGGTTCATCCTATATTCCACAAAATTTGATGAGCACTGATGATGTCCATTTTATGGTGATATATTGGTAACCTAGCAATCCTGTTTGTTTTTCAAATCAGTCATCCTATGATGATAGAGTCAACAGTCTAGAATTAGAAAGTTTTAAGGCAAACCACAACAACATTCTAAATTTCAACAATGTGAATACAAATTCCATTTCTCTGAGAGTAAACTAGCCAATTTGGGGTCCTTGGCTTTCCAAGTGCTAAGTATTTCTGAGTAGTTGTGATTCAGTGTTCTCAGTTCAGTGAGCCTCCCTATGAGACGAGCAAAATGCTGTGGGTCTTCTGGATGATAAATTTTTGAATATTTGTACAAAATTTGTAAAATCGGTTCTTGTATATTTTCCACATGTTGCTTATTTTTAAGGTATGGACGATCTGAAAAACATCATCATATATATCTTAATGAATACTGGAAAGTAGTAGAAGATAATGAATTAATTTAAAACAATACAGTTTGTAGATAATAAAAATAGCAAATATTTTCCGAACCCTTAATATATGCAAGATATTATGCTAAGTAAATTACTTCATGCAATATCTTATTTAATCTTCATAGTACTCTATGAGGTAGAGAAGTAAAGTCAAATAGGAAGAGAAGGGTGAGTAAGTGGTTGTAAGAATATAAGAGCAAGTTTCAAGCTTACTTAAAACTTAAAAAGATTAATTTCCTCAAGATCAACAGTAAGGAAAAGGCAAGTTTCTTAAGTACCTAGTTATAAAATATAAGAACCAACCAAGAATTTCTTAATGGTTAGGCAGCAATGATTTATCCAGGCATTGTGGTGGAGATACAGCAGCGAACATAAAAGACCCAGTTTCCTGCCCTCTTTAAGCTTATATCCTGAGTTTGGGAGGAGTGGTGAGAAAAGAGATATATACACATTTTAAATAAAAATATAATATGACAATGATAAGTATTATAGAGAAAAACAGAGAAAGGAATAAGAATTTAGGGTGGAAGGGCAGAAGCTATTTTTTAAAAGGATAATCAGAGGTAAGATGACATTTAACAGAGATCTAAGATGAAGGAGGGAGGCATGTAACTACCTGGAGAAAGAGCTTTCCAAGCATATTTGTCAAATACAACACCACCTGTGGAAGGAGCCAGCTTGACATTTTCAAGTAACATATGTATCAAAAGTAATGTGGCTGTGGTGGTGTGAGCAAAAGGGATAGTAGTAGGCAATAATAGAGAGAATTTGGCTTTAATCTGTGTAGAATAGGAAACCATGAAGGGGTTATGAGCAGAGAAATGAAATGATCTAGCTTACATTTCAAAAGAATAACTCTGGCTAATATGTAGAGAATAGACTCTAGGGAGGCAAGGGCAGAAACAGGAAAGCAAAAAAGGATACCAGTTTGAATTAGGGTGGCAGGGACAGAGACAGTAAGAAGTGGTTGTGGAAAGAGCCAAGATATCCATCGACAGATGAATGGATAAAGAAGATGTGGTATATATACACAATGGAATATTATGCAGCCATCAAAAGGAATGAGATCTTGCCATTTGCAACGACGTGGATGGAACTGGAGGGTGTTATGCTGAGTGAAATAAGTCAATCAGAGAAAGACATGTATCATATGACCTCACTGATATGAGGAATTCTTAATCTCAGGAAACAAACTGAGGGTTGCTGGAGTGGTGGGGGGTGGGGGGGATGGGGTGGCTGGGCGATAGACATTGGGGAGGGTATGTGCTATGGTGAGCGCTGTGAATTGTGCAAGACTGTTGAATCACAGATCTGTACTTCTGAAACAAATAATGCAATATATGTTAAGAAAAAGAAAAAAGAAGAAGATAGCAGGAGGAGAAGAATGAAGGGGGGGAAATCAGAGGGGGAGACAAACCATGAGAGACGATGGACTCTGAAAAACAAACTGAGCGTTCTAGAGGGGAGGGCTTGGGGGGATGGGTTAGCCTGGTGATGGGTATTAAAGAGGGCACGTTCTGCGTAAAAAAAAGAAGTGGTTGAGTTCTGGATATATTTTGAGGCTAGAGCCAACAGGAAGTGTTGCCTATTTGATAGGGTATAAGAGAAAAAAAGTAGTGAAGGATGACTTCACAAATTTTGGCTTGTGTAACTTGAAGGATGGAGATGCCGTTTAGTAAACATGGAGGAAGAATACAGGAGGATCAAGGGAGAGATCAGGAGTTCACCTTGGGACAGGTTACATTTGACATACCTACTACAAGTTGAAATCTTGAGTAGGCTATTTAGTGGAGCTTAGGGGAGCAGTCCAAGTTGGTATATAACTTTGGGATTTGTCAACATGTAGATGGTGTTTAAAGCCATGAGAGAGGATGAGATTTCAAAGGAAGTAAGTGCAGAAGAAAAGAGAACCGAGCCCTAGGTCACTCTTAACATTTATCAGTGTGGGAGATGAGGAGGAATTAACAAAGGAGACGGAAATCTCAGCCACTGAGGAGGAAAATCAAGAAAGTGTGATGTCCTGGAAATCAAGTGGGGGGAAAGAGTGTTTACAAGGAGGGAGTGATCAACAGAAGCCAAGTGATGAAAGTTTTCCAAGAGAGAAGGAGTGATCTGCTCTGCTGGATGAAGCTGATGGGTCAAGTACAATGAGGACTAAGAACTGAAAACTGGAACCAGCAATGCCAGATTACTGAAGATCTTTGACAAATTATGGTAGAATGGAAAGAAGGGGACAAACTCTGACTGCAGGAGTAAATGAGATGAGATAAATGAAGGAAGGAGTACAGACAAAAAAATTTTTTTTCTGTAGAGTAGAACAGAGAAATGGGAAAATAGCTGAAAGGGATTAGAGGTCAAGAAGGCTTTTTTTTAAGATGCAAGAAATTACAGCATGTTCATAAGCTGAAGAGAATTCTCTCAAAGAGAAAATTTTGACAAAATAAAATTGTTAACATTTGGCATCAGTGAATAATATAATAACCACAGACATCATGATTTGATTGCCAATCTTAATCCAAATATTTTCTCCTGAATGGTTTTTACCTGAAAAAAACACAGTTGTTGCTGCAAGCAGAGCATATTCAGTATTAGTAATATTAAGTTCACTCATTCTTCTGTAGAAGTAAAACAATGTGGTAATAAATTCTTCAGCAATACCTAAAAAGATTAATATCAAATGTATTTTCATCAGACAATAGCGCATAATCAAACATATGGCCATTATCATCTTTTCTCAACGCAGAATAATAAAATGAAGCATTATATCTGACCAATTTTTCCATCCAATATAATATTTTGTATTGTATGTAATATTACCAGTCAGTGTAGTAGGAGGACAGTCTTCATTGCAAAATGTTTCCATAGAATAAATAACACTTCTATTAGCACTCTGATTGTGACAATTCAGTGAATGATCTGAATGATCTGATACTCTCATAGTACCTAGCAACAGGGAAAAATATAAAGTCTGATTTTTAAAACATCTTTATACAGATAGTAAATCCAATCTCTCTAATCTGTTAGACAGAAAATATTCCCAACAAATGGTAGCTTTATAATTTTTATTACTGGAACATGAACTGAAATTAATAGTTCAGATTTTATATAAATATTGTGTAGAAAACCCTTCAAAAATGTTTTAAACCATGATGCCATATAATTTCTTAAAAAGGGTTTGTTTGTTTTTTTTAAAGAAAAGCAAAAGCTAGACCAATGATTTGGAAAAGCTATTATGAAGTACTTATTCCTATACTAACTAGTAAAGTGAAAATATAATAAAAAATAATGTTATATAATTTGTTGCTGTATTTAATAGTAACTGTTAACATTAAGACTGAGTTGGTTGGCCTTTTTTACTTTCAGAAGCTGATGAAAGACATTCTTTCTGACTGTAAAGTTGGGCCCCATGAAGGAACATCACTTCAGTTTTTGATCCCTTGCATAATGCAGTCTGGTCCTCAGTTGTCAAATTTTCAAATCCTTGAAGAAAAGATCACATAATTGTTTGAAATCAGTAATGAAAAGATAATTTTCAGGTATAAGATTTAATTATTCATTTAGTTATAATATGAATCCTAAGTGTTTCCTTAGGATAATCACAATCTGTAATTTCAAATATGAACAAAATTCTTGATTCCGCATGGTAATATTTTGGAGCACTTTCATCAGAACTGGATAATAATACTTCCATATGACAAGAAGAAATTAAACAAAGTTTAGCCTCAAAGAATTTATTTTTACAATGAGTTATCTGTGCATTTAAATAGGTAAGTTTTGGCCAACTGTAGCTTGATTTTTTCTTTATTTGTTTCATGTTTTATATAAAAAAATTTATTTCAAAACATTAAAAGAATCAACCATATTATGTGTCTTGCTCTAAGTCTATGGAGTCATTTGAATATTTTTAAATATTAATATTTTCAATCACTTGATTGGTTTTGTTTTGTTTTTAGAGAAGGAGAAAGAAAGAGTGCACAAGAGAGGTGGGGAGGGGCAGAGGGAGAGGGAGAGAGAGAATCTTAAGCAGTCTCCATACTCAGCACAGAGCACAATGTGGGGCTGGAACTCACGACCCTGAGATCATGACCTGAGCTGAAATCAAGAGTGGGGTTCTTAACCAACTGGGACACCCAGGCACTCCCCCACACCTGATTGTTTAAAGCAGACAAAATGAACATGTTTTTGCATTTTGAAGCAGCTTTTGGTGGAAAAATACAGGGTTTTGTTTTCCTAAAATGTTCCCTGCCTTTAAAACAGGGAACTTTTTAAAAATTAAGTAGTATGAAATTATTTTCCAAAGGTAAAGTGATTACCTGGGAGTCCCTTGGTAAAATCCATTAACCCCTGTAGGTGTAGGACCACTGTCTCTGAGAGTCGCAAGAAGCTCAGTTCAGGATTTGCATACTTCTGCAGCTAGCCAACAAAAAGAAATGAGAGTAATAGATTTTATTTCTTTCAACTAACTTTAAATTTTTAACTTTCATGTTTATGCTATTGTTTTCTAACATAATTAGTTATAAATTATTTCTTGCCGTTAATGAACACATACAAATTTCTTTGTTTCCTCTAAAGGAATTGTATATTTTTTATGAGCAGCCACAATGTTATTAATGAGCTGATGTTCCTCTTGAGTTAGTTCCATGCTCTCCTGAATCTATAAGAAAACATAGGGGGAAAACTATCATGAATTTGTATTAAGCAAGACATGTCATCATTAAAGAAAAAAGAAATTTTATAAAAATCTTGCCACTTTTCCAGATCTAGTGGTGGATGATACAAGCTTGTCTACTCCTCCCTCTTCCATTTTGATGTTAGAGCAAAAACTATTCTTCTGTTTAAAGTTCTTTCGAAGTCTCTTTGACTTGCATTGGATTTCTGTGAGCAAACCTGTGATATTACAAAATTCATATAAAATGCTTTAGGTATGGCAAATAACATTATAGGATTCAATGAAAATTGTCTTACACTGTACACATATATTATTATAGACTTGTCTTTTCACAAAGAACCTTCCTTTTTTGGCAAGTATGTACCAGCAATTAAATTTACTTCATTACTTTCTCCTTTTCCTTCCATAACTACCCTCTACTTAAAAGTACATAGTCATCCTAGACATAAATTAAAAACTGATTTTGCATCTCCAAACCATAAATTTAGACCTTTTATGTTAGAGAAATTTCCACATCATATCTTGGAAACAACATAGATTATCAATTGATATAGAAATTCAACTACCTTATCTACGAGCTTTTTTCTTTGATTTTTATATAAGGTCAAGAAAATATTTTGTGATTTTGTTAAATGAGCTAAGTCGATTTTTTCCTAATAAGACAAGACAGTGGTATTTTGTTATGGCAGCCTGAGCAGTCTCAGACAGGGATAAAGCAAAGGATTCAGGCTGGTTGGACGGGATAACCTTAAGATCTACTTCAACCCTGAATTTTTTTTTTAAGATTTTTAAGTAATCTCTATCCCCAACATGGGGCTCAAACTCACAACCCTGAGATCAAGAGTCACACGTTCCACTAACTGAGCCAGCCAGCCAGGTGCCCCCAACCCTGGAATTTTAAATAATAGGAATCCTTTCAGTCAAGAACTTTGAAGAGTTTGGATTTTATTAAAATAAACAGAATAATATAAACAGAATATTGCACTGGTGTTTATTGAACAGGAGTGTAACTTAATAAAAATTGAAGAATATTGTCATAGCAGTTGAAGGTAGACTGAACTAAAAAGAGATAATGAAGAAATAGCCATGAAATGAATATAATAGTAAGAGTGTAAGATAGTAAGAGTTTATACAAGGCTAGATTAGACATGAAAAGAAAACATTAATAGTACCTTATTAAGAAAATGAATTTTGAAATCACCATGACATTTTGAGCCCTGGGAAATGGGAGGAATTGGGGAAATAATGCCAAAATCTTAGTACTACTCATGACCTCATGTAATCTATAAGCTAAAAACACTGTGAACATAGAAGGAACTCAAAACAGCCCAAGTACTTCTGCCTGTTGAGTTGGGTTTTGACACCTACGAGTTGTTAGTAGGCTCTACATACCTAGTTATCATGTAGGCTTCTAAAGATACAAGGCCAAAGAAGGGGGACTACTAATTTAAAATTCTACTTTTTATAGATACATTATATAAATTTAGGTTAAGTCATATGAAAATACAAGGATTTCCAATGAAGAAGAACATATGACTATTGCCAAAATTAGAGCAATACAGTATAGAACAGGGTTTATGGAAAAATATCTAGGTTGGTTACCAGTCATCCTAATCTATCAGCTGCTAGAGAAATAGCTTCAATCTAGACAAATATGTTAATGTTCAAAATGATAACTTGAGGAATGCATTATGTTGTTAATAAGGTAAGAAAAACTAAAATCCCCCTCAAAAAAAGAACCCCCAAAGTCTACAATAACACTTACATTCTGCCAACATTCCTACTGCCTTACACTTTTTCAGTCTGCACTCTTGACATTTCCTACGCATGTACATGTCCATTTCACAGTGGCCACCATTCTTGCAACGATATACTGCATTTTTGGTGATGCTACGTCGAAAAAAACCTAATGACAAAAAAAGTACTTTTAAAATTTTACTATTAGGTATTTTTAGTTTTTTATTAATATATACCTTTCTAGTAGAGTTAAATAATTGAAATAACTAAATTATTTCAATAAAATGGTTTTTTCCATCAATAAGATTTAGTTTAATATATATTTATATTCCCTTATGATTGATATCTTCTAATCCAAGGTTGTTCCTTTCAATAATCACATGTGGAAATTAAACAAAATAGTTCCATCACATTATGATAACTTTCTATTTTAGTGTGGTTATAATGTATCATCTAAAAGCATTTTTTACAACTATGTTGTACAGAATATCAAGATTCCATGAAGCATCTCTCAAGGTGCCCTTGAAAGAATATATGCTCTTGTAAGACTGTAAGGAAAACCTCTTCTCTCCTCATATTTCCACCTCAACCCATAAATAGGAAGAGATATTCTTCGAAACTTACTCCTCTGTCTCACCTTCCCAAAGGTGAGAAAATATTTTTAGGTTTTTTTGGTCTGAAAAATTGAATAGGCCATGGTGTATGTGTGTGTGCATGTTTGTGTGTGTGTGTGTGTTTTGGGGGAGGTGTCTATATTTTCCCTTTCACTTCTTAAATCCATGCATAGCAATCCCCCTTCCTACTTCTTCTTTCATTCCCCATTCCTATTCAATAACCCCTGCTATCTTCCTCTTAATCCATTCCAAGCAGTAAAGTTGATAAGCTTTGTCAATGCCCCTCTTAGAGACCTGTGATACCCTTTTTTTCTGTAAACACACTTGAGAGTGAGAGTTTTGTGATTTAGATTCATCGAAGGAAATAGAAAGCTCAGCTTAAGTTTTCCAGAACTATGCCTCATCTTCCATCTAGTTTTTTTTTTTAAGATTATTTATTTATTTATTTGAGAGAGAGAGAGAGAGAGAACAAGCATAAGTGAGGGTCAGAGGGAGAGGGAAAAGCAGGCTCCCTGATGCTGGGCTCCATCCCAGGACCCTGGGATCATGACCTGAGCTGAAGGTAGATGCTAAACTGAGCCAACCAGGCGCCCCTTCTTCCATCTAGTTTTAACATCAAGGCCCTGCATTTTAAGAATAAGCAAATACCTGCCCAGCTATTCTATTCATAAAGATGGTACCTAATTTCCCACAGTCTTCATTTGGCTATTCTTTGTTAGGGGTGAGTTATGAGATTCTGACAGTAAATCTTCACCCTGAACTTCTAACAGACATGTTTACCAAGAGCTGCACTGGCCTAATCATTTCCAGGTTCTGTTCCAACGTTGCATTTGTAAATAAAAACAATGCAGAAGTGTTTCAAAATCTCAAAACTTCATCAAAGACTATTTCACTCTTTGAAAATTTCATTGTCAATGATGATCTTCACTTGCAAACCTCCCATTTTCAAAAAAGCATTCAAAGAAATTAAAATAAAGTCATAGAAGTGGTTTAATTCCAATTCCCTTCTAATGCATGAATTATATCAACCACATGAGAAGATTGAATAGTTGACATTCAGATATTTTTAAAAATCATTTTCTTCTTTTTAAAAGATTTTATTTATTTGAGAGAGAGAGTACAAGTGCTGAGCAGGGGGAGGGGGTAGAGGGAGGGGTAGAGGGAAAGGGGCAGAGGGGGAAGGATAGGGACAAACAGACTCTGAGCCAAGCGCGAAGCACCACTGGGGGAACGATCCCAACACCTGAGATCACAACCTGAGCCGAAACCAAGAGCCAAGCACACAACTGACTGAGCCACTCAGGGCCCCCTAAAAATCATTTTCTATTCCATATCAGATTCATCTAAGAACACAGAAACCTTCTGCTATATAAATACTGAATTTTATATTTAAAGGCAAAAGTTTTCATCAAAAATGAAAAACTACATCAAAACTATTGCATTCCATTTTCATGTCTTTTATGACACAGATGATCACCTTTAAATGTATCAACGGCTCTCCCTGGTTTTATTTTTCACACTTTGAAAAGTAAGAGTATTCTTTTTTTTTATGATCAGTTAGCCAACATATAGTACATCATTAGTTTTTGATGTAGTGTTCAACGATTCATTAGTTGTGTATTCTTACATGCCGAAACTTCCATGACTCTTCAGTGAACACTAGGACTTCAGTTTTGTTTTAACTTTATCCTTACCTTTACAACCTTCACAAGTAAGTGCATTATAATGATATCCTGATGCTTTATCACCACACACTACACAGAGTTCTTCCTGTTGCTTAATCCGAATGGAAGAGTGAGTGAGTCTGGACCTTTTTATTCCAGAGTATCCATCTTTAGCATCATGGTCAACCACATAATTGGGTTTATTTAATTCATAGGAACCAAATCCACATTCTCCACCACTGAACTGTGGGTCCAAGCTGTAAGTGTTGAAATGACTTTGTAAAGATTGGGACTGTAGAGCTGTTGGAAACTGGAAGGTAGAATACTGGCAATAAGCTGATTCTTGAAAATCAGTGTCATGAAGCTGATAGTTGATTTGCTCTGGCAGAATATCTAGTTGTTTTCAACATAAAAAAGAATAAACGGTAAAAAGTCAAAATTCCATACTTGTTCTCAAATATCAAAGAGTTTATGCTCAACAGTTAGTTCAACATATCCACTACATCCCAGGGACTTCCTGGCCAGCATGAGGAACAGGCAGTAAACTGAATTGCAGTACATCATAAGTGCTGCCATCTCAGTGGTATGCAGAGGTTGCTCAGGAGCTGGGAGAAAGGGCAGTCTGTTGCTAAGTCTGTGGCTTACATACCAATCCAATCTCCCATCTTAAATAGAAATGCATATTTCCCAGAGTTTGGAAGGAAAGGTTTTCCCATCTTTTGCGTTTCCCTTGTGTGGGTACAACTGTTTGCAGTACAATCACGTCAGTAAAGAGAAGAATTAATACATTATCCCACCCACCCCCCAAAAATCAAACTAAAATACAATTTTACCTGGTTATTTCAAGCAAAAAAAAAAGTTTTTGTTTTAACTCCCCATTAAATATACCTTAACACTCTCCTTTGCCATTTGTAGATCTGATTTAAATTATTAGTTTCTTTTGTGTTTTGTTAACTAACAATTCTAACTAGCAATTATCTGGGGATAAATTCACCTAGTCTACCAAGTTACTATAAGGATGAAACAAAATATGGTATGCAAATGCATATATAAAATATAAAATGATGCTTAATGAATATCATTATTATAAGTATCAGAAGCTCCCAAACACCAACTTACTTTCTTTTTTCTTTTGTAAGATTTATTTATTTATTTCAGAGAGAGAACACACATACACACACACACACACACACAAACACATACGCAAGCTGGGGGATGGGCAGAGGGAGAAGGAGAGAGAGAATCCTTGGGCAGACTCCAGCTTGATTCCAGGACCCTGAGATCATGGCCTGAGCCAAAATCAAGAGCCTGCCGCTTAACCAGACCGAGCCACCCGCGTGCCACCAACTTACTTTCTGCTTTCAGGAAAATTTCTAAATCTAAATCCAGAAGATTGGCTCCAAAAGGACCCAGGAATACTGAATTGCTCTATGTCGCTAACTAGTAATATTTGTTCTTTTCCTGATGCTGAATCAGGTATTTTTAACCTCAAAATTCTACCACCAAGATTGGTGAACAGTATAATTTTTATTAACTTACATAAATCCCTTGCAATCTTATACCATTCAGTCTAGTGCTAAGTGTTGAGAAAATACTAATGACAGCCTAATATAAAAAGAAAGATTATCAGTAAAAACAATGTAACTGTTTTTATTTTTAAAGATGACTTTATTGAATGAGTGTGAAAAGACTGCAGAATACTAGCTGATGTTCCATTGGCATGGAAATTAGAATTGAGGTCCTAACCCTAACCTTAACCCTAAACTTAACTCTAAAAGAAAACTGCATTTAAAATTAAATTTATATAATGGACATTAAGAGGGCACATGATGTAATGAGCACTGGGTATTATATAAGACTGATGAATCACTGACCTCTACCTCTGAAACCAATAATACATTGTATGTTAATTGAATTTAAATTTTAAAAAACTTAATAAAAAATAAAAATAATACATAAATACATAAGTAAAATTCCAAAAAATGCCACAAAAAAACCCCAAAATAATTAAAATTTAAAAATTAAATTTACCTTATAGCCTTAGTCTTTTTGGAGAAAATTCCTATTGTATCCTGAATTCTGTTCCTATTTCTTTCCCTTTGATAAAAGTCTTAAGATGAAAATTTCAAGTATATTGAATAGCTACTCTGAGCTACATTTACTAAATTGCAAGCAAACTAGCTTCAACTAACCCCTAAAAATAACTTCTAATTTGCGTGTTAATTCAAATTTTAAAAGTTAAATATAATTTTAGACTATCATGCTTTTCCCTCTTTACATTTGATTCTGGCTTACAACAGTTTAGTATTACTGATTTTTTTTTTGAAATTAATTATATTCTTTTGTATGAGAATTTTTAAGTTTCTTATTTTAATTCCTCTTGTAGGGAACAATTTAAAGTCTTTGGTTTACTTGTTAATTTCTTTAAAAAAAAAAACCTCTGTAATTAACCATAATGTCACACAAAAAGTGTTTTATCAACTGTTATACTGTAGCTTTTTGTTACATACCATAGCACTGTACTGGTTCAGCAAGACAGTAATAACCATCAGGTGTAGTGACATAAGTATTTGCCATTCTCTGCTCCAATTCTCATTTATTCATCAGTGAATGCTGAACTAGAACTGAAGGAAATAAAACTTTTGTAGACTATTTGAAAGTATGATCATCAAGTCAGCATGATTTTATAAAAGTACAATACTATTTTGAAAAATAAAGAGTTTATTAGCAGAATTTATACATGAGATGTTTATATTTGTCCTTTAACTGGAAGAATATTGAGTTTTCATATCTCTACACACCAAATTATTAATTCTGCCAATTTCTTATTGCTCAGCTCTTTACAAATAACTCAATAAATCTTGGTAATAATCAAGGTGGCTTTTGAAAGTTTACCAAGCTTTGGTATTAGGCTTCATATACTGCTTTCACCACTTATTTATGGGTCATTCATTAAATCTCCTTAAACCTTAGTTTCCTCATTTGTAGGAGAAAAATAATAAAACCCTCCTAGCAAAATTGTTGGGAGAGTTTAATTAATATATGTAAAATCCAGCACAGTTCTTGTCTTAATAACTGATTCTCATAATTGCTATTCTAATAGTTTCAAGATCTCAGTGTTCTAAATTAAGATGAATTAGGAAGAAAAATTGGACTTTTTCATGAAAGAAACTAAGGAGTAGGAAAAAATGGCTTTCAATAGCACTTGTTTTTATCTTCTAAATCCACTCTATTTTCATAGCCCTGTGATATGCTAAACATTAAAATATTAATTTCGGTTCTGCTTGACTAATTACAATTTTTTTATTTATTGAAAAAAGTTAATGGACTACTGGAAAAAGAGTTTTATTTTTAATAGTAAAGCCTAAAACTAAAGTGAACAAGTCAGGAAACGACAGATGTTGGCGAGGATGCAGAGAAAGGGGAACCCTCTTACACTATTGGTGGGAATGCACCTGGTGCTGCCACTCTGGAAAATAGTATGAAGGTTTCTCAAAAAGTTAAAAATACCCTACAACCCAGCAATTGCACTACTAGGTATTTATCCAAAGATACAAACAGTGATTCAAAAGGGCACATGCACCCCAATATTTATAGCAGCAATGTCCACAATAGTCCAAATATGGAAAGAGCCCACATGTCCAACAACAGATGAATGGATAAAGAAGATGTGAGATATATATATATATGTATGTATGTATATGTGTGTATATGTATGTATACACACACACACAATGGAATAATACTCAGCCATCCAAAAGAACGAAATCCTACCATTTGCAACGATGTGGATGGAACTAGAGGGTATTATGCTAAGTAAAATAAGTCAGTCAGAGAAAGAAAAATACCATATGATTTCACTCATATGTGGAGTTTTAGAAACAAAACTGATGAACATAGGAGAAGAGAATGAAAAATAAAATAAGATGAAAACAGAGAGGCAAATTACAAGAGACTCTTAACTCTAGGAAACAAACTGAGGGTTACTGGAGGGGAGGTGGGTGGGAGGATGGGGTAATAACTGGGTGATGGGCATTAAGGAGGGCACTTCATATATTGAGCACTGGGTGTTAGATGAAACTGATGAATCACTAAGGTCTACCCTGAAACTAATAATATAGTATATGTTAACTAAATTGAATTAAAAAAACTGTTTTTAAATAGTAAAGCCTAAAAATCATAAGCTATTATAAGAAAAATTATTCACAATCTAAGATGATCCCTTAATGGGAAAAACTATTTATTTTTGTTATTTCCTAGAAAGGAACTCCAAAAATTTGAATAAACTTAAACAGGAAATCACAGTTCAAGAAATTGAAAATTATTGGAATAAAGGTCACTCTAGAGTCCATAGTCTTTTATAGCTTTATCATCTCTATTAAAGATAAAAATGGTTTTCACCTTTAAAAAGGACCAAAAAAAAAAAGAAAATGGGTTTTAAATCACGCCAAAAAATTTGTGACAAACTTTTAGCCTCTGAGATTATATTGAAAAATCTTTTCCTTTAATTTATTATTCATGAGCGAGCTTCATGGGTGAGGTTTCTATATCCATGAAGATGATTTCAATAGTAATATCTTTGAAATTTGTCCCCTTTACCATCTAACAGAATGTATGTTCTTCTAAAAGCACTTGAAACTCCCAGTCTTCTGACAGGATAGCAGTAATCCTATAGAATAAGCACTGGATAAAAGAGATGAAGCAAAAGCGGTGCCCCCAAATAAGTGAAATTTTAATATAAAGTTTCCCTTGAAAAGTTAGGACTAAAATCAATAAGATCTGTCAGTCTACACTTCCCTGTTTCTATATTGCAACAGGTCAATTGGCTCTCCATATAGAAACAATTCTGAATGCTATCCATTTAATATGTGTGATACTTTGTAGCAATGGTTCTGTTCAGTTCTTTCCAAACTTCTCTTTTGAGCCTCAGTTAGGTTTTAGAAAATTATAAATGAACCTGAAAACTTGAGGTTGTTACTCACCCTTCTTTTAAAATTACCGCACTTACCATCAGGCTTCACATAATATTGAACATCTGAAGAAGACTGAAAATTAAAATTGGTACTACTTAGATACAGACTTTGCTGAGTGAAAGTTTGAGAAATAATCTAGAACGAACCAGAGGTAGCTCATTAAAACAAAACCGGTGATATCCTGACAAAGACACACATAAGTATCTTATAGTGATGCTACTATCAGGCTTCAAATCGTAAATAACAATGTTCTGAAACCAAGTCCTTCCAATACTGGTAGATAAACACCCAAAAATATTATCTAAAGTAGATCTGTTTGGGGTTTTTTTTGTTTATTTATTTATTTAAGTAATCTCTATACCCAAAGTGGGATTTGAACCCACAACCCTGAGATCTAGAGTGGCATGTTCTTCCAACTAAGCCAACTAGGCACCCCAAAGCTGACCTGTTTTTATGGACTAGTTATATTCCAGGGCATTCATGGGACATATACATAAAAAGGCTTTGATTAAAAATATGCCTTTTAAAATATGAAATATTTATGTTTTATATGCTTATAGTAATATTGTATTATTTTCTACATAAATTTTTTCCCTAATTAAATGTTCTTCAGCCTTTTAGATGTTTAATAGAAGTATTATAATATGTACGCATAACAAAACTTCAGAAATAAAGTATTCATACAATTAGTTTAAGAACACTTAAGTAGATTATTAATAGCATAGAGGGAGGTATGTAATCAAAAACTTCCTATCTTATTAAAGAGAAAAGTTACAGTAGGCCTGGAGTGATTCTGTTTTGTTATCTTTCTTGGTAAATATTTATTTAAAAACAAAAATAACTCAGTTAAGAGAGGAGCTTTTATCTAGAGGATCAATTCGGCATGGGCAAAGTCTATATTTTTTTCATTAACAAATATAACTTTATAAAATAAAGCTGTGTTTTTCATAAATTATAATAGCTATTTTACTGAAAAGATGCTTAATTGCAGAAATGAATTTGCATCTCCTCTGCCTTAACTAGAAATCGTGCTTAGTAAAGCTTCACATAGCCAGAACTTTAACAGGAAAAACATATTGACTCCTCAGAACTATATCCACATGTTAAAGAATTTTAGTTTTTACATTTTTACTCTTGCAATATATGTCACATGAATCATGAATAATGCATTGCATAAAATTAATATAACTGAAGTGGATGGCATCACAAGAAAAACTGAAAATTCCAGTTTTCATAGTAGCCTCTACTAAAAAAATGAATGATAGTGCTCTGTGATACATAATTATAAAAAAGTTCTTCATAATAGAGCTTCTTTGAGCCAAAATTCTCTGAGCTTATTGGAACCAAGGAAAATGAAAATGAAAAGGATATATTTGAATAACAGCACAAATTAAGGCTTCTTGATTTCTTTATAAGAATCTGTCCTTTAACCTTAGAATATTGGGAGGATTTTATACTCTGAAGTCTTCACATAGAGTTTTATTATACAGCTTTATTGAGATGTAATTTACATAACATAAAATTCACTCTTTTAAAATGTACAGTTCTCGGTTTTTAGAATATTCTGAGAGAGTGCAATTATCACCACCATCTAATTCCAGAGCATTCTTACTACTGCAAAATGAAATCCCCTACCCATAAACAGTCACTCCCCATTCTGTCCTCCCCCAAACCCTAGCAACCGCCAATCCACTTTCTGTTTCTATGTATTTGCCTATTCTAGACATTTCATATAAATGGAATCATACAATTCCGTATATAGTTTTAGATGAAAAAAATATTTAATATTATGTCAAGTAATTTTCACAGCTTAAAAAAGAGAAATCAGACTATATATATAGAAAATTCATGACTATGAAATTAATAAATAATTCAGAAATATAGAAATATATTTTGTGTCCATTCCCATAATCTGGAAAAATTTTTATAAATTTTTATAATCATAGCATTTTGAATAGAAGTATAATTCCCTGAATACACCTTTATCAGAATATATGTCAAGTTGCCTTGAATTCACATAAAACCTATTGTTTCGAAAAATACAATGTATTTTAAGAATAAGTTCTTGATTAAAAACAAGTTTCATTTTAAAACGTAAGAGTAAATATCATGGTGAATCGAGGTACATTATTACATCAAAGGTCACGTGGAGTTCAACTACAGCCCAAAATTGCCTGTCATTCTTTAGGAGAAAACCAATCACTGTATAATCTACTTAAATTTCTCATTTTCAAGGAACAAATGCTTTTTATAGTTTGACTATCATAGTAACAACAACTGGCTTATTCACTTTGACGGTGGAAACTAAATAGAGTTCCAAAAATACCCTTAACAGCTTACAGTTTAATAATACTTTCAATTGCCCACAAAATTAACATTCATATTTAATTGAGACAGCATAAAATTGTAAAATTTTGGTTATTGAGAGAAGACAAAATACTCACAGTTAAACAATATGACTAGAGATTGTCCTTTTCCTCACAGAACGAGGCTAGATGGATTTAACAACGACTTCAACTTTCCAGCTGGAGCAAACTGGACCTTTTCCCTATTTATCAAGGAGCAGAGAGGGGGGCACTCTGCATATACTTAGGCTCCAGACAC